GTGGCGTTTTGCCAAAGATCCAGGGCCCAAACTAAAAAGCCAAATTTTCCTAGCTCCATCTTTGCCCACTCTACAAATAGCCAGATTTCTGGCATTGTAAAATGTGGAAGAGAAAACTGAGCCAAATGTGGAATGATCCATTTTGTAATGATCTCTCCTTAATCCTAAAAATATGCTAAACTTAGGATTCCTTGCCCAAGCAGAGCAAATGGCAGCAAAAAGATACTGGAGAAAAAGCTCGGGTCAGGTCAGAGAGGTGAAGAAGCCCGTGGCAGGGTCTAGACCACAGCCGGGCCCTCGATAAAGTGTGTGTCTCTTCCTCCTTTGGTAACTGATATATTACATAGAACTTCTCAGCCAAGGAGTTCAATAAATTATAACAACTCATCCTCTAACACCTATCTGATAACTCATTAATAATGCTGAGTCAAAAAAGACCTTCCCAAATGAGCCAAAGAACTTAGAAGCAACAGAGATTTTAGACTTAATATAGTAAAAAGTTTAGAATGCCATAAATAGACAAGCAGACTGAAATTCTTACTATATATAGAAAAAAGTTAATGTAACACTACATAACATTTCCTAGAAATCCGAATATTCCAGCAGAAAAATAGGCAAGGACAATCATGGTAAAAATATAGATGGCCTCCTGGCCAGTATGGCTCAGTTGGTTGGCTGGAGCATCGTTCTGTATACCAAAAGGTTGTGGGTTTGATTCCTGGTCCGGGAGCCTGCAAGAGAAAACCAATTGATATTTCTCTCTCTCTCTCTCTTCCTCTCTCTCTCTCAGTTTCTCTCTCCCCCTCGCCCCTTTCTCCCCTAAAAGCAATGAAAAAAATGTCTTCGGGTAAGAAAAAAAATACGGATGGCACCCTGGCTGGTGTAACTCAGTGGATCTAGTGTTGGCCTTCGAACCAAAAGCTCACAGGTCCGATTTCCTGTCAGGGCAAGTGCCTGGACATGGGCCACGTCGCCAGTTGGGGGCGTGCTAGAGCCAACTGACCGATGTTGTTCTCCCACATCAGTGTTTCTCTTTCCCCCTCTCTCCCTTCCTTGCCCTCTCTCTAAAAGTAAAATAAAAAGTCTTTAAAAAAATACAGGTGGCAAATAAACATATTAACAAACTTACTTGTAATCACAGTAATGTGAATTAAAACAAGGGGGGAAACAAGCAAACAATAAATAGATAAGTAAGTAAAACAAGGGAAACATTTTTAGTTCATTAGACTGGATCGGGGGAGACGGTGTCTGCTGGTGGCAAGAGTGTGGAGAAAGGGCGCCGCTGTGCTCAGAAGGAAGGGGATGCACTGGTGTCAGTCTTCCTGCGCGATGATTGAAGCATCCGTCACCGAGTAAAAGATGCAAGCCCTTTACAACCAATAATTCCACTTCCGGGTACCCTTCAAAGCTACATGCATGAAACAGTCACTGAGACTCTGCAGTAGGAAAAAAGTTAGCCTGGCTGAATGGCCGTTGAGCCCTCATGGCGCATCCACACAGTGGGAAGGCCTGAGTTAACATTCACACTGAGGCAGCGCCATGGATGCTGCCGTGGAAAGGTCCCCGAGACCTATCCCCGAGATTTGAGCAAAAGCAAACCGCAGAGACATCTCTTCAGTGTGATCACGTTTATATTTTTAAAAACAAATAACAGATATGTGGGCACACATATTTGTCCCCACAGACAGATCCAGAATGCACCAAGGAAGGATGGGGGACACAGCTCACACTGTTCACAGCAGTTGTCTTTGGGGAAAGAAGGGGGAACTGACTCCAGGAGACAGAATGAAAAGAGGTGAACCCTCTCATGGTCAAGTTCATATTTTACCCCATGTTCTTTTATATTGCTTGAATGTCTTTCAATGAACATGAATTACTTGAACTTGAAAAACAGTAAATAAGGAGGGGGGTACGCCCTGTTCTTCCAAACTATCGATGGTGGTACCCGTGCTCTAACACACTTTTTTCTGCCTGGGCCACTGCAAGCCTCCTAGCTGATCCCCGACTGCACGCTTACCCCTTGCCTTAGTCCGTTCAGGCTGCTATAACAAAGTACCATAGACAGGAGCATTGTCCCTTAAACTGAGAGGTTGCTGGTTCAGTCCCAGTCCTGGTCAGAGCACATACAGGGAAGCAACATTCATTCTCTCTCTCTCCCTGTCTCTCTCTCTCTCTCTCCCCCCACCCTTTTTTTTTTTAATTTAAAAAAAAAAAAAAAACATTATTTTTCACAGTTCTGGAGGCTGGAAAGTCTGATTGAGCCCTAAAATTCTACCATATAGGACCTAAAACAGTGTAAAAACCAGTTCACAGTCTATATATAAAAAGCGGGTGGCCCTAACCCTGTCTGCTGCACTAATTTCCGCTGAAGATCCCTCTGTTTACAAGAAGCTTGACGTGCCAGCCCAGCCCCCGCACTCGGCCCTGGCAGCCTCGGCCTCAGTCCCGAGACTTCCCAGCATGTGGGGAGCCAAGTGGCCTGTCGACTCCGTAAGAGGGAAAAGTGACCATAAGCTCAGTGGCCAAAGGCACTGCTCACCATTCTTAGGAACATAAAATACAGGGAAGAAAGAGGAAGATAAAAATTAGAGTCTATCATTTTATCTTCTTTTATCTAGGCTGGTGATTTTCATCCTTCTTCATCTCAACAGCACACATAAACTAATGGCTAAAATTCGGCGGCACACCAAAAAATATACTTTTTGCTGATCAGACAAAAAAATAAGTATAATGTTGACTCATTCACACCAGATGGCAATTGTCGTGTTGGCTGTTGTCACTTTTTTTTTATTTGACAATCTAAGGGAAAGGAGGTTAGCCCCTAATTAGTCAGGTATTGCAGGCTTAAAAACTTAATGTGGCCCTGACTAGTGTGGCTCAGTGGGTGGAGCATCATCCTGCAAATCAAAAGGTCACCAGTTAGATTCCTGGTCAGGCCACATGCCTGGGTTGAGGGCCAGGTCCCCAGCTGGGGGTGTGCAAGAGGCAATCAATCGATGTTTCTCTTGCCCATTATGTCTCTCTCCCTCTCCTTCTCGCTCCCTTCCCCTCTCTCTAATAATAGATAAATATTAAATAAATATTTGAAACATTAGTAATAATGAATTCTTGTGGCACCCCAGCTGAACATCACTGCTCAAGACTCCTGAGCATGGCTAACTTCTCTCCCAAAAGGTAATCTGAAGAATTTTTAAAATCCACCTCAACTAAACATTGCTGTCTCTCCCTCACTCTCTGCCCATACAAGGCCTCCTCCCCCATGGAAGGAGTTACAAGAAAGGGAACACAATAAAAATGGTCTCCTAGAGCCCTGGCTGGTACAGCTCAGTGGATGGAGTGTGGGCCTGAGAACCAAACACTGTCTTCTCGACTCCGCAAATGCAGATAAGAAGCAGGAGACACCTGCAAGGTTACTCTAAAAAGTGGTTCTCAGCCTTGGCTGCACATTGCCATCGCCGTGGGAGGTGAAAAAATACTGATCCTGCCTCCCATCCCCCAAGATTCTGGTTTCTTTGGGACTGATGGATCCTGGGCAGGCAAAAAAAAATTTTTAAGTTCCCAGATGACTGTAATTTGTAGCCAGAGTTGAGAAGCCAGCTGCAGTTTGGCACAGGGGCCCAAAGGCCCACACATCAATTCTAAGCTCGGTCTCCTAGGTAGATGACTGGTCACTAACAAGAAATGAGTATCAGTTTGAGAGAAGCGTTTTAGGAAAAATCCAGGTAGGATGATTCATCCTTGAGTTATGGCTTTACTGCACTAGCAAAATATCTCTAAATTCATAGGAGATATGAAACTGAGTTAGAGGGACTTATTATTAACACAAAGAATGAATCAAAGGAAAAAGCAGGTGTGTGACCTCAAGCAAGTGAGTTTAATGGGGAAGTCCTCATTCTAAACTTGGAAGAGTTTTGTTTTTTTTTTCATGATAAACAACTGTTAGGAGCAGTGGGTAAAGTGTCATTCTTTTTCCCAGAATTGAAAAGAATTCACAATAAATACCCATTATGTCTTACAGTGGTCACAGAATGTTTATTCCACAGTGGCTTTTCAGAGAACAGAATTAAAATCAATATGATATTGATTTTAGTCTTTGTGAAATATGTCCCCAAATATTCGTATATGACTTTTAAACCCCAGAGCTGTTAAAACAATGGAGTACCCCTCCTTCCTTGGTGAGACGAGGGCAACTCAAGGTTACCGACGACCCTCCTCTGGTCCGTCCCCCACACCGTGGCGGGAAGAGCTCCCTGACGTGCAGCTCTGACCCAGCCACTGCTCTGCTGCACGTCCCTTTTCAGTCCCCATCGCCTGCGCTCAAGGCCCCCATCTCCCTTCTCCAGCCTCCCTGTCTGCACAGCCCTCCTACCACCCTGCGGCCCAGCCAGACTTGAGTCCCCAGAGAGCCCAGCCGTGCCACACCTCAAGGCTTTGTCTGCACTGCCCCCTTGACTGGGATGGCCACTCCCAGGTACCCTAGTTCACTAGGTCTAGAGAACTCCTCACATCCTTGAAGACTCAGTTCAAGGCGCTTCAACTGTGAAGCTTTTAGAAACTGTGGTACACAGATGCAATGGAATATTACGTGGTCATAAAAAATAAAGAAACCTGACCATTTGTGACAGCATGGATGAACCTAGAGGGTATTATGCTGAGTGAAATAAGTCAAATACCATATGACTTCACTTATTTAAAAAAAAAAACAAATGAACAAACAAAACAGAAACAAACTTATAGACACAGAGAACAAATGGATGGTTGCCAGATTGGGGGGGTTGGGTAAAAAAGTGAAGGGATTAATAAGTACTAATTAGCAGTTACAAAAGAGTCATGGGGGTGTAAGGCACAGCGTAGGGAACAGAGTTAATACATTGTAATGACTATGTCAGTGCCAGGTGGGCACCAGACTTATCAGAGGCAATCACTTTGTAAGTTATATAAATGTCTAACCACTATGCTGTACACTTAAGGCTAATATAATATTAAATGTCAACTGCAACTGAAAAAATAAAAAAAAAAAGTGAAGGTTTCTGACCCATCCAAAAAGGTAACAACTCCCTCCTTTGCCCAAACCCCCAACATGCACCTTACACTTAATCACATTTACGTGTTTGCCTCTCTACATTTCCCACCCAGATTCTGAGCCCTTTGATGGCATAGATGGCATCTTATCCATTCACACACCAGCATCTAAAAGTCAGATTGATATAAAGTAAGTTTTCAATTAAGCTTATGTTATGAATTGAATTTAACTGAATTTATTGAATGAATTCATATAACTCTCCACAAATTAACCTCCCTCGCCTCCTCTCCCTCTCTCTCAACACAAAGGTACACACACCACAAAAGAGGAGAGAGGAGGCTAAGAAGGGGCCCAAGTGGAACACCTCTTGCAGCAGTTCCTGGATCAGTCAGCCTGTCTTTACTTACCATTGAGGTTCTGTGCCCAGTGGCTGAAGGCAGAAGCGAGGGGCTGTTTTCCTGGTGTGGAGAGTCTACGTGAGAGCTATGCCGAGTACCGGAGCTTCCTGAGTCACTGTGAAGCTCTCCTTTTTCAGACAGCAATCTGGACAGAAAGCTGGCCTTTCTACTGCCTGAGCGAGGTCTGTCTGTCCAGACCCCACTCTCTCTCAGGCTGCCATCACTGTCTCTGCAGTGACTGTGCAAATCTGTGAGAGGCTCCCCTGAGGGCTGCGAGTCCTGAGACTGCTCCCTGGTTCCTATTGCATAGGATGGACAATGCCTTGGAGCCATCGGCATACCTAGCCAGGACTGGGACCTTTTCTGTGTGCCAGAGGAGGAGTGATCTGGTTGCTGTCCCGGGTGCTGAATTCTAACGCAATCATCCCACAGACAGGGGCTGTGGACGTGGAGCTGTCCGCTGTGCTGATCCCTCTCAGCCCAGTCATTTTTACCACCGCCGGTGTCTACCTCCAGTTGCCTGGCCTGTGGGATTTGCCACAAGGTTTTAGACTTCGGCACAGTCACTTGGGTGACTTGTTGCTGACTGTTGGCTTGGAGTACAGAGATTCTTTCAGACAAGGGGGAGCAAATCATACACTGTTGGGTCACTGAATATTTTTTCAAATGAAACGGAGGGCCCCTTTCATCCTCAACGCCGTCAGTGCCTGGCTTGTCATAAAGTGCCCTCATGATTTTCCTGATTCCAAGGTGGAATATTTCTAGTACATTAAGGAACAAAGAGATGGCTGCGATGCTATGCATAAAGAGCATGAAAATGGTCTTCTCTGTGGGCCTGGATACAAAGCAGTCCACTGCATTGGGGCATGGAGGTTGAGCGCATTTGTAGAGGGAGTGCATTTGAAACCCATAGAGAACATACTGGCCTATCATAAACCCTACTTCCAGCACAGATCTGATCAAGATGTGTAAGACATAAGTACGCAGTAGACATCCTTTCAGAGGGACTTTGTGGATCCTCTTCTGTTCCTCTAACTTCCTCAGCTGTCGATCTATCCTTTGTTGCTCCTCCAATTCAAGCCCCGGATTCTCCATGTGGGCTCTAAGGTGTGACTTTTTCCTCTGTCGCTCCTTTTCGAAGGCCCTGAGTCTGTAAAGGGCATGGCCCATATACACCAGAGAGGGAGAGGACACGAAGATGATCTGTAAGACCCAGAACCTGATCAAAGAGATAGGAAATGCATTGTCGTAACAGATATTGTTGCAACCTGGCTGCTGGGTGTTGCAGGCAAATGCTGACTGTTCATCATCCCAGACATCTTCAGCTGCCACGCCAAGTACCAGCATTCGGAAAATGAAGAGGATGGTCAGCCAGATTTTCCCCACTATGGTTGAGTGAGAGTGAACTTCCTCGAGAATGCCACCCAGTAAGTTCCAATCCCCCATGGTAAGAAGACTAACGTCTGAAATAAAAAATAAAAAATACAAAGGTGGAGGTTAATAACACCCATGGATATAACATATAAAGACTCAGGCTCAGCAAAACAGCAGGTCCTTTTTTTTGTTTCAATAAAACTATGAAAGGTTTTCCAGCCCTAATATTTGTGGCCCATGCTTGATGAGATAGAATGGTTCAAAGAATATCCATTGGGTGGGGGGGGGGGGGGGACTAAAGGCCTTCCTCAATCTGATCCAATTTTCTTCCTATCCTTTCTCTCCCACACAAAGTTGACTGTCATTTTAGCATATTCATTGGCCCTCATATTTATGTAGTGCCCCCCATCCCACAATTTTGCTCACTTGTCAACCCATCTGAGATGCCCCATTTACCATACAGCCTCCATGATCTTTAATAAGTCTTACCATGGCACTGTAATTAAAGTGAGTTGTGTGATGGTTGTCTTATGTCCCCTTTCCTTCGAAAGTGTGTCCTTCAAGAGAAAAAAAATGTGCAAGATATAATACACAGGGACTATCTATAGCATTTTGGTCTTTGCATAGAGACAGCGTCAATCAATGATAGTGGACTGAATTGTCTTTTCACTTTAAAACTCATTCTTCTCACTGGAGTAATCATCAACAGAAAAACAAAAGTCCTCATTATGTATTATCCATGGCTCCCACCGCAAGACTAAAAGTACAAGGAAAGCAGAAATCAGTCAAATAAACCCTCAGAAACTGGCATGGAACAGCAGTAAAGACTCAGAAGGCGCAGAATCAATAACAGCAGTAAAACATAACATTACACCCAAAAGCATGTTTTCATGGAAGTTTGCTATCTTAGAGGTGAATATAAATTGCTTCTCTAGCAAGCCTTGAATTTGGAAAAGAATCAAGGTATAGCTGACATGAACAAGTTATTTGGTTTATCCTGAAAAAAATTAATGTTTTTCAAGGTTCAATGAGGTTAAAATACTTGGTAGGTTAAAATCTCATAAGATGTGGAAGACTTCCAAATATAAAATATATGGAGGACAAATAGGAAAGTGTTATTATGTTAAAACAAATAATGAAACAATTGTCTCCTTCCGTAATTTATTCCTTCGATATTTACTAAAATCTTAATAGCACCTACCAGGTGTGAGGAAATTCAACGATGAACACGATATACCTGGCCCCGCCCTCCCAGTACTTAGCACTCCCACGAACATATAAAATGGACAATAAAAACAAGCAAATGAGTATCAAGTCAAAAATCACAAGAGCAAAAACATTAAAAATTTTCCTGCTTACCTGCAAACACAAATACAGGGTTGGGCAAAAGTAGGTGTACAGTGGTGAGTATGCAAAACAGAGTTTGTTCTTGTATTATTAATTATTGTATTATTTTCTATATGAACAAGTGTAGACCTACTTTTTCCCCATCTTGTATAAATTCTGGGTGGAGTGAAGTATTAAATCTAAAAAAAGTAAACTGTGAAAGTATTAAAATAAAACGTAAAAGCATATTTTACCATCTTGAAGTAGAGAAAGGCGTTTTAAGCACATCAATGACAGAAATTATAAGTGGAAAAAACACAGATTTTTTACCCAACAAAACTAAATGGCAGAAGTGGAAATGGCCATAAAAAAGAATGGAATGTTACCATTTGTGACAGGATGGGTGGATCTAGAGGGTATCATTCTAAGTTGAAGTTGGGCAGACAGAGAAAGACAAATACCACACAATTTCACTTATATGCAGAATCTAAAGAACAAAATAAACCAATAACAAAAAAAAAACAGACTCAGAGGGGAGAGGTTGGGGGTGGGTGAAAAAGGCAAAGGGATCGAGAAGTACAGATTGATCATCACAAAATAGTCACAAGGATGCAAAGTCCAGCAAAGGGAATGTGGTCAAAAATGTTGTAACAACTGCATATGGTTCTAGGTGGACACTTGAAGAATCGGGGGAGCACTTTGTAAATTATGATTATCTAACCACAATGCTGTGCACCTGAAACCAATATAAAATAACACTGAATGTCACCTGTCATTGAAAAATAAAATTCAAAAAAATGTTAAGTGGCCATGTCCAGAAAGCACTTGGCTCCAGAGAACAACAACGACAAAACAGTGCTAAACCAGATATAAACATTTAAACATTTGTGAACAGTCCTGAATAGGGAGATGAGATCACTCTGGGACTAGAAAGAAAAGCGAGGCAATGCCAGAAACCTGAGAAATACCATGGGAAAAAAAGTCTACAAATGAAAATAGGAAATGGCCCAAGAGAGAAAGGGGGAGAACATGAGGGTCACGCCGCTGAAACCAAAGCAGGATGGAGCTTCAAGAAGAGAACAGTTGCCAATGCCAAACACCCATGCACATACCACTATTTAAATATAGTGATAGTGGGATATGCCACACTCATGGATTCACACCCTCAGTGACTCTTTGTGAAGACGCCAGCCAATTCTCCCCAAATCAGGTGATCCACAGGTTCAACGTGAGACTGTATATCACTGAGTGAAAGGAAATCGTGCAAGTGTACAAAATTATGTGTGCATATATATGATGTATGTGCATGTGACTACATGAGCGTGGAGGGAAAAGAACAGAAGGACACACACCAGGAAGTTGCTGTAGGTTCCTGGAGGCCGGTGGGAGGTGACGAGAAAGGAGGGGGGAGTTTGGAGGAAGAAGGGAGAGACAAAAAGAAAATGACTCTTCTTCTAAAGCAGCGTGACAGATTTTGATCCCAGGCAACCCATCTATGTAAATGTATACCTGTATGTGCATACATGTATATAAACAATGTTTAAAATAAAATTTAAAAATAGATTCTCTCTTTTATATTTTACCCCATGTACTTGTAAATTGCTTTAAATTCAAAAATTAACAATGTAGTCATATAAAGTACTCCCAAATAAAAATTGGATTTAAAAATTTTGGACTCGTACCTCACTAACTGAAGCAAGAATTTACTAAGTCCTCTCATCCCTCACAGAGTTCAGTTCATTTACCATAGTCATTCACTTAAAAACTGCTGGCCATTATTCTTTGTTACAAAATAACTTTAACACTGAAAAAAATCTAGAGCTTCTATTTTATATAAAAACTCTAAGGTGAAAAAGCTAACTCATGTCATTAACTTATTCTCTACTTGACTTAAATTATTTAATGCTTCCTTTTGCCACTATTCCTTAAAAATGGAAAATTATTACTTTTAAACACCAAGTAAAAGAGAACTAGGCCAACATGAAAAACAGAAATACAGTCATTCATAGTGGCATGCAAAGGCCAGATCCTTTAGACAAATATTCCTGTTTACTAAAAATAACTACTTTTTACCATTAAACGACTATAGTTCCTAGAAATATTGTTGAATTTTCCTTTATTATCCAATACTAATTTAGCATTTCCAATGTAAAAAGCTGGTGTTTCTTTCTCAAATTCTATATTACATCTTATGTTTCAATCCCCACAGGGATTTCCTATAGTTCTATAAACAAGAAAACCCACATATTTACCACTTACCTTACAGGTGGACCACAAAAATGACTGGGCTCAGACAACCTGAAAGAGGGACCATGAGTGGCTACTTCGTGGGGCAGCGGCTGCTGGCTGCAGATATAAAGCGTCTGCTCAGCTGGCCGCGGGGCCCAGTCCAGAATGAGCACAGTAGTTTCGACCGATGGAGTCTACCCTAGTCCTCTCCCGAGGTCAACATGGCCTTTGGTGTTTTGCAATTCTCTTGCATTATTTTTTTCTAACTGACACCATGCTGCAGCCAGTCCTGGTGTATCATATTTGAAAGTGAAAAGTGAAACAAATGAGAATTTTCCTTTATCATTTGGGAATGATTACAATGATCTGTCAATGAATCGCTCTAGGAATGGATGTCACAGATCAATGGGTCATGTCCGATTTCATCAAGAGCTGCCTCGGGTGAGTCTAGCTTCATCAAATGTGAACAAGTAATAATGGAGGGACAATCCAGCCCCCAGTGTTCCTGCACACCATGCTGTGCTGGGAAGAGGAGCATCTAAACAAGATGAAGCATTTTTGGACCACGGGGGGTGAGGGGGGGGGGGCTGTGCCTGTCTGTAGATCACATGGTCTAGTGATTTTCTATTAGGCTGACACAGACGGCTCAAGAACATTTTTTGCTACGCAGAGAATCTGAAAGCGACAGAGGCACAGAGTAGGTGACTCTCCTATAGCTTCACCCCAAGCTCTCCGCGGGCATCAGCACACTAAGGGGTGAGAACCGCTGCCGCAGAGAACAAGATTTTTCAACATTCCCACTGCCACTCTCACAAAGTTATGCTGAATGTAGGACAGAGTCACTGACATGCCCAAGACACACTTGGACAGGCAGAAGGGAACAGAAATGTTAGAGAGAATAACTGCCCCGGGATAGAAAAGCAAAAGATGAAGATGCACGCGCATGCCTGTTCCACTAGCTGCTGCCTCTGTGCTAGTCAATGGGACCGATAGGCACCGCGCCGCCTCATTCACCTGGTGATGGAAGAGGGGCTGTTCGTCTTCTACAGAGCGTCTGTAAAGCATTTAGGGTCGTGAAAGCCAACATAACACTAAAGGGAGAGAAAGTCATGTAAATGGGAGCAACAGCTGAAGAGGAAAGCTCATTTGTGTCAAGTCCCTTGTCTCATCTGCTAAGGAGACTCAAAGGCACCTTCAATGGGAAAATAAGGGGTTTCCAGGAGAAATGCCATTATGACATTTTACACATTTTCTCTTCCAAAAAAAACCTCATTTCAACCTGGACCGGTGTGGTTCAATTAGTTAGTTGGGTGTCATCCTGCAAAGCAAAAGGTCACCAGTTCAATTCCTGGTAAGGGCACATGCCTAAGTTGCAAGTTCGGTCCCTGTCAGGGCACATATGAGGGGTAACCAATCGATGCTTCTCTCCCTTTCTCCCTTCCACCCCCACAAAACAAACAAAAAAAAAAGTTCCCATCGTGTATGTACCTCTTACAGAGAATAGAAATAAAAAAGAACTTCATTTTATGAAGCTAGCCTAACAACCTGGATAATGAAATCTGACATGATTTTTGTCATGTCTTAAGAACATTTCTAGGTCAATCTCTTCAAAAAAAAAATGCAGATTATCCTAAACAAAGCATTAGCAAACCAACTCTAACATTCTATAAAAAGGATATAACACATCAACATTAGGCTTATTCTGAGATTACAAAGCTCACATAGTATTTCTTAAAAACCAGTGTGATATACCATATTCACAAAATAAAGGGAGAAATTATTGATAAAAATAAACATCCATTCATAATCTTTTTTTTCTTGAAAACTTGGGATTTCTATTTATTTGTCTTTTTCAGAATCTCTCAATTTTTGAGGGACAAGGTACCCCATCTTCAGATAATCCAGACCCAGTTCCCTTACCTCTCTGCCTTGTGTTAGTCCTGGAAATGTTCCCGCCATCTCTGCAGACAGAAACAAAGGAAATGACAGAGTAGCTTCTCTTTGTCCTTCAGATCCACTTTCGACTCTTCTCATTGTGCTTCCTGCTCACTCATGATCTTCCTTTAAAAAGATTTTTATTCATTTATTTACTTATTTATTTTAGAGAGAGGGGAAGTGAGGGAGAGAAATAAACATCGATTGGTTGCCTCTCGTACGTGCCCAGACCAAGACTGAACCCACAACCCAGGCATGCACCCGGACCAGGAATCAAACCAGTGACGTTCCAGTTTGCAGGACAATGCCCAACCCACTGAACGACATGACCATGGACCTTTTTCCTTTTTGCTCAGTCCCTCCACCCCCTCACCTCCCCACCCCTACTAGCTTTCATCCTGCTCCTCATCAATGAGACTGTCCCCATTTTCCTTGTTGTGTCTTCATTACATCCCACATTATCCGTGAAATCATGCGGTATCTGGTAAAATTTTCTTTTTTGGCCAAGTAGTATTCCATTGTGTCAATGTCCCATAGTTATTTTATCCACTCTTCTATTGATGGACACATGGGCTGCTTCCAAATCTTGGTGATTTTAAGTAACACTGCAATGAACATAGTGGTGCTTACATTCTTTCAAAATTAGTGTTTTGAGTTCCTTCAGACATATTCCCAGAGGTGGGATCACTGAGTCAAAAGGCAGATCCATTTTTAGTTTTTTGAGGTATCTGTATACTGCTTTCCACAGTGGCTACACCAACTTTGTGCACTTTTCTGAGTGACATACTTCATTTCTAAAAGCTCAACATTTTTATATCTATAACTTCATCCTAACAAGGCAAGAACTTTAACATTCTTACGGTCCCTTGACCTTCATCATGTTGATATTTTTATAATTCTGGTTAATTATTAGTATACTTCCTTTTTCATCTTTCTCCTCCTATACACCCGTTACCAAAATATCTCACCACTCTTAACCCCTAGCTCTTTTATCCCCTGGACTTCTTTTTAAGTGTTTTCTCAAAAACTGTTTACAACATGGATCTCCGAATGGTAAATCTTAGTATTTTTAAGCCCTTATATTTGAGTAACAATATAAACCGATGTAAAATATTAGGTCCAGTACTTCAAAAATACTTTCTTACAGCTAGTATTGCTCTTGAAAAGACTGAGATCAATCTAATTTACTGTTTAAAAGCTTTTAATATTTTTCTCATTATCTTCTGATACTTTTTTTAAGATTTATTTATTTTTAGGGAGAAGGGAAAAGGAGAGAAACATGATGTATAAGAGAAACAGTGATTAGTTGCCCTCTCACGCCCCCAACTGGGGACCTGGCCCAAAACCCAAGCATGTGCCCTGACCAGGAATCAAACCAGAAACCTTTCAGTTTGTGGTATGACACCCAGCCCATTGAGCTATGCTTATCAGGGCTCATTGTTTTTGATACTCTTAATTTCACTGTATGACTAGATAGTGGTACTTCATTCTCTGTCTCTTTGAGCATTCTATGGCCCTTCAATCTTTTGTTTCCTCTTCTGGACCTCCATTGTTACCTGAACACTGGCACATCTTCTGTCCATCATCTCACTTAAATATGCATTCATATTTACTATTTGGTTATTTTTTTTTCCTTTCCAGTTTCTCAATCTGAATTTCCAACTCACTAATTCATTCTTCAGTTTTATCCATTTTTATTGCATTTCACTGTTCTTTTAAACTTTTTATATTTATAGTTTATTTATTATTTCTTATTCTTGTGTCACATTACCAAAATCTTCCTTTTTAAAAAAAAATGTTTATTGGCTTAAATTTTTATATTTTATTAATTTTAGATAGAGGAAAAGGAAGGGAGAAGGAGAGGGAGAGAAACATCAGTTACATCCTGCATGTGCCCCAACTGGGGACCAAACCTGCAACCCAGTCATGTGCCCCAACCATGAATTGAACCAGTGACCTTGCGGTTTACAGAAAGACACCCAATCAACCTCGTTACACCAGCCAGGACTGCGTTTATTGGCTTTATTTTTAATTCCTGATGGTCTTGTTTTCCTTTGAATCACTGGCACCTTAAGTTGTCCCTTTACTTTGGCTTGTGAACTCATTTAACCTGGTGGTATAGGCCCTTCTGAGTCACATTACACACTGGGCAAGAACTGAGGGCCAGGCCTCTAGGCTATGTTAGAGGTTCAAAGAGAGTTAAGAAAATAAGCAATAGGGTGGACAGCAGAGGCACTACGAAACCAGTTAATTATTTTAGTTTGTTCTCTACCAGATGTCTTTCAGATGAGGGCTTCCCCTTCAGACACCACAGGAGAAATGGCAATTTCCTAAGGCACTTCTGGAGTCTTGGGCCTAGATAATAACCCACCAGTTCTATGAATCTGGAGAGGGAAGAACAAACAATAATGCTCAAGGTATTAATCTTTACTTATTTTCTCCAAAAGGGCTTCCTGTGCTGCCCTGATGTTATCTGTGAAGGCTCCTGCAGCAAGGTCTGGTTCACAGTTTTAGAAGCTGTGCTGAGAAAGCAGATAAGAGGCAACTGGTTTTCTCTAATGAAACTACTCACTGAAATTCAGCAACCCACACCCCTACCTAGAACCATTTCACAATAGCTTCCCATGTCCCCCGGGATTTTTATCTTTTTTTCGTTCTTATCCAAACACACTAAAAAATTAGTTCTGATCAAAACTATAACAGAACTTTACATGGTTTTATTTGTACATTACTGATATCCAAAGCAAACTTTATACAAAAAGTTTTATACAGATAAAAAAAATTCTTGGCTAGGCAAAGCCATTTATGTGTATGATACACACAAACACAGATACACACAAAGTATTTTACATCATTTTAAGTATACATATTTACAGATACACTATTTAAATTACTTTACAATTTACCAAAATGAGAGGCAATTAGAAAAGCAAATAAAAATATATGAAAACAAGGTACATAATGGTTAATTTTTAATGCTACAAAACTATTTTTAAATATCTAGAAAAAACTCATTTCTTTGAAATATCAAAACTAAGGTTTCAATATTATATTGTTGTTGCTTTTATCTTAATAACAAGTTATAACCTGTTTAAAAATAAGTATCTTGACCAGTAACCAATAAGCAAATCAGACTGATGACTAGAACAAACTGACTTGAGATTAAAGAGTCAGCAAGTTATAGCAAATATAAGTTATCTAGTGAGCAAATGTCATGAAATTGCCCTCTGCTCCCTCATTTAGAACATGAGGAACTCCAAGCTCCTGTGCAGTAAGCATTATCAATTTAGACTCCCTGGAATTCAGCTTATCTGTAATTTAAGAAAATGCTAAAGTTATGATTTTACTTTTATATGACCATTTCATAAATGTTATTCTTTTGAATGGGTTCCATGTAGTTAATATTGATGCTGAAGCTTTTTATGGAATAAGTTTGGAAACTTGATCATTACACTTTGATTTTGAAAACAATTTAATGAGACTATAGTACTTGGGGGGGAAAGTCAGTTAAGAGACAAACCAGGAATGAAATAACACGTTAATTATGCTATCACACAAGCAAATAAAATCTCAAGTATCAAATTCAATAAAAGATTTGTAATGAAATTTGGAAATTTTAAACTAATGAGCATCGCTTCCAAATACAAGTTAATTCTTCCATGAATGTACATCATCTTCATAAGAGAATGGAAGTCATATTTTAAGATAACATTCAGGTAAAACAAAAAATTTGGTTTAATTTCTTAAAGGTAGTAAAAATTTTAAAGCACCGCAAATCTGAAAAATAATCATGTCATTGTTGCCTTAAACTATTTTTAAAGGTTCTTTAGACTAAGCTTTTTTTTTCTAATTCCCTATTATTAAATCTCACATTCTGAATTATATAAATAGAATTTTAACTTCACAATAAACTACCAAATATCTTCTGAAGATCTCATTAACAAACTAGCTGTTCTGAGAGGATACTGAAATTAAGTTTCCTTTCAAATTACTTTTGACACTTACATTACTTTTGAAATTACATTACATATAGACATTTATATATAAAATGTCTATGTAAAAGATATATCCAGTCTAGAAATAGATTTATAACTCAAATATATTAAGAACCTGTTCACACTGAGGTCTATGGCCAAATATGGTTTCTATTCCAATTAGATTTAATTTGAACTTAATTTAATTTAAAACTGGGTGTTTTGCATTTAAATAATTATGACTACGAATTGACTGAAAAAGTGTTGTTAAAAATCTACAATTTTTCTTACGTGAAGTCCGAATATGTAAGCAACTGACTTCTTACAAAGAAATCCTGCTGATAAACATTGTTACCCTAACAAACCTGTACGAAAACGGCCCTAAAAAACTGAGGAAACATCTCTGTCAACATTATTAATAATTTTACATGGTAAATCATGTCATCTCTTCAGATGACAATGGATATAATGTTTATGGATGTCTATTTTATATTTCAAACTATTTTAGCACTAATTTAAAATATAAAGTTTTTTTAATGTATGCAAAAAATATTAAATTATGAGTGCACAGAATTCATTACCTGTGAAACACATTGTTATTCAAGAACATTTATTTTTCACTTATAAAAAATTTTCTTATTAATCATCAAATGGGACTTCCCCCCACCTTAGACTCATCGGCAGTCAGAGGTTAATGAGGAATGCCATGATGATGTAAACTGCAACTGAGCACGTCCTGTGGATGTGGTGACCTTAGAAGATTACTACGAGCAATCATCCTCCAAGCTGTGAATGAAGCAGGAAATCAAGCGGATGTCTCTCACCCACTACTCACATCTTCAATGACTAATAGGCCATTAACTGAAGGTACAGTAGCTAATATTTATTTTACGAGTCTCCTGTAGTATAACCATTAACTACCTGCATTTTGACTTTTCAAAGAGCTTCAATAGCTGCTGGAATCTTTCTGAGACCTGGAAAGTTAAAAGTGAGTGTTAATTATAAATATTTCAATAAGAATTTTAAAAAACCTGTAACGGCTATTTTCATAAAACATCTAAAGAAAGTTACTGTCAATAATAAAGTAACGTCTAGAAAAATACGTATCTTCATACTAGAGGTGATTGCTAGTTTAACTTTCAATATTCAACTTTTTTAATTGGAATGACACTGGTTAATAAAATTATATAGGTTTCAAGTATATAATTCCATAATACATCTGTATATTGTATTGTGTTCATCACCCAAAGTCTCAATATTAACCTTCTTAAACAAGTAACATTACAAAATTATTTGAGATCAAATTGGTAAGACGAAAGAAAAAAACAAAATTTTTCTTCCACAATCACCAAATTTTTAACAGTCCCACATGAAAAGCCATACTTTTAAAGACGTATCTATATATTTTAAACATGTTAAAAATGAAGTCTAGGTATTTAGAGTATAACATCTAGCCCTAACTGGCATGGCTCATTGGTAGAGAATCACTGGTTCAATTCCCAGTCACGGCACATGCCTGGGTTGCAGGCCCAGTTCCCAACTGGGGTGCCCATGAGGTAAACAATCAATGTTTCTATTGCACATCGATGTTTTTCTCTTTCTGTCTCCCTCCCTTCCCCTCTAAAAATAAATAAATAAAATCTTTTAAAAAACAGACTAGTAACATCTGTGAAACTAGAGATATAGAACTTGCAAAGTTACCTGAGATGAGTTTTTATTCAACTTGGCAGCTACATAAGAAAATGTTTTCATTGATGGCCCACTTTTCTGACACTCCATTAAAATTTCCCGGTCATCATTTCTAAGGAGGGAAAATGTTATTTAGCTTTTGTAGATTACAGCAGAAAGCTAACAAAATTTCCACTGCCTTAATGTCCACTAATAGGAGGTGACATTTTTATTACAACCCACAGAAAAAAGAAAGTGCACATCACAACATGGACAATGATCATCTCTGAGAAATATGGTTATGGATGATTTTTATCTCTAAGCTCATATGTATTTACAAAATTTTATAAACATACTGATTATTCTAATGACAAAATATACATTTTTAATTTTACTTTAAAAACAGGAGCCCAAACATTACAGACTCAATAAGCAAAAGAACGTAAAATAGAATCTAAACCATCAAATTCCCTGTGTCTTTTATTACAATCTCTGAGATTTTACTATGCTGTTACCTGAACTTCAACGAAATTCAGCTTTCTTCCTTATGCATTCTAGTTAAGTTGGAAGATCATGAACCACTGAGTCCAATGGCTCCCAAATGTGGCTAAGCTTATGTCTCAAATGAGGTCTTTAAATCTGCATTTCTTAAAAAGTTCACATAAAAGTCAAAAGTACAACCTGTTTACAAAACTTTTTTGAAATTCTTAATTTAGAGAAAAACTCAAATTATAAAGGCTCAGGCTTTTTGCCCTATTTCATCACCTGTCATTCTTCCTTTCTAAAATGTGATTACACCAATTATTTACAAATAAAAGTATTCTTTTTTAATTAAAAAAGTGAAGTTAAAACCCACTTTGCATTGATGAAAAGTTCTATCCGTGGTGCTAATACACATCCCTGGTTAAGAGGCATTGCTATATTATCCCAGAACATGTCCTCTATTAATTTTGGCTACTTTTGAAGTGCTCACTTTCCTTATTTCAGGATAGGATATAACTATGACGACATGAAAGAACAGATTTCTGGCCTCTCAAAATTTCCTGGTGATCTAAATGTCTCATAAGATCCTTACCTTGTCCATGAAACTACAATTTCTCCTTTCTTTTTAATGATATTCTTCGCAGAAAGGTTTACAGGAGAAGTGCCAGATGCTGCTGATGGGTCCTTAATGCCCGGGCTTGTCTTTATCAATGAGGGATCTTTAGTCACTGCAGGGGCCTTTTTCTTACTGGCTTTTCTTTGGTGATCTTCACCATTCTCACCAGAATTCTGGGTAATTTTCTTGGTCTTTTCCTTATTGGTTAAGTCTGTTTCCTTTCTCTGTTTTTTCTGGCAAGAATGATTTAGATTAGAAAGGTTTTTTCTCTTTTTGTGAGCATTATCCAAAGTTGCAGGCAACTCTGAACTATCAGAATTTGATGCTGGTTCTGATCTTAAATCCTTTTTTACTTCACATGCATTAGGAGAGTCTGAAGTCAAATCAATATAAGCTTCCTCAACCATGCATTCTGAAGGCTTGCTTGCCACTTGCACCTTTTCTTCCTTATAGTTATCTTCATCTACACAAAACACCTGACACCCCAAGTGTCCAACTGCTAAAGCAGAATGGTTATCTTCACTTTTACTCTCACTTGAAACATCTTGTGTCAAGTCAATAAAAGCATCTACAGTATCAGGCTGCACAGTGTCTAAGATTTGAGCATTCTGATCCAAACTGCTTCCAGAACATCTCAACTGATTCATGTTTAAAACTGCTACATCTATAAACTCCCCCAAGTTTTTAGTCTCAGTGACTGGATCTTTTGTGAGGTCTACGTATGTGTTTGGAAGATGGCTCTCAACAGAATGTGGAATGTCTTCCATCAAAGGCAATCCTGCAATGCTTTCGGGAACTTTTGGTTCCCATACTTGATGCAACTTCAAGCATTTATCAGCCACTTCATTACTATGACCCACTTTACCTGAAGCATCTTTCAGGAATTCATATATATCAGGAACCTGTGTTTGTATCATACAGCCCTGCTCTTCATGAGCTAATTTGTTGCTGTCAACATTTTCATTGGAATGTTTCAATTCCTCCACAGATTTAAAAACTGTGTCCTGAGTTGAAATACATTCCTTCTCTGCTGCATCAGCTTCCTTTCTCACTCTGGGCAAAGAGGCCAACGACTCATTAGCCACCACATTCTGTGTAAGACTAGTAGAGGCAGATGGTGCCGTGTGCCGTATTTTCACAATGAAATGATCATTGGACTTTTCCATTATGACAGCATGCATGGGTAGATTAGGGTGGTACTGAAAGCCTGGAGTAACAGACCGACTTGTCCATGATGAACAACTTGATTTACTGCTTGAATTATCAGACTCCAAAGCTAAGTGAATATCTTGTTCAGATGCATCTTCTTCCTCAAGTAAGGCATCTTCACTAAAATGGGCACTAATAACTTCTTCAGGAGTTGAACTAGATAAAACTTCAGGCTTTAAGAAACTGAGATGACCATCTGACTTCAGAGGTGATGGCACTGTTAAAGATACTGCTAGATCTTCAAGAAGTATGGAAGAAATGCCGGGCTTGCTCTTTTCTGAACTACATACATTATCTTTATTTAAAGCTATGTTAGTGGACACTTCAAACATACAACTTTCATCCAACACATCTGGATGAACTGGCAACGAAAGCCCTGAAGACAGAGATGGACCTTTCTCAGATGATAATAAAGACCAATTATCATCACTGATCATTTTAGGACATGGAGAAACTACATCAGAAACCAGTTCTTCTGTTGTACAAGCTGGTATAGATTCACACTTAAGACTTTCTAGCAGCTGTTTCTCTGGAGTCTTTAACTCCCACTCACTTTTTTCATTACAATTAACACTGTTGTCCAAAAGATCAGAACCTTGCAACAAACTTTTAAATATTTCACCCATCTGTGCATCACTCACTAAATTAAAAGTGAGGCTAGATGCTTGCTGTTCAGTAAGAATCTCAAAACAACGTTCTGGCTTCAAAGCTGCCTGCTGGGAAGTCTGTGTATCCTCTATTGTGCTACCTTCCATTTTTCCTGGCTTTGGGATGTTCAGACAGTTTAGTTCCAAGGAGTGCTCTTCAGATTGAGAGCACCTAATATTATCAAAGCAAGTGTTACAGTTTTTTTTAATATCATGCTTTACTGTGTTTACACCGGAGTTATTTTGGTCTTGACGTTTTTCCTCAGACTTTTTACATCCCAGTGAAGATCTATTATAAATAGAACCTTCTAATTTTGAGGATTTCTCTTTCAGCATTTCTTTGCTGGAGTTGACCATATTCCTCTTCTGACAATTTGAATATTCTGTTTTCTCTTTATTTTTTTCAAATTTCCCTTCATCACTGTCACTACCAAAGTTTGTGAAATCACAGTATTTTATTAAGATTTTTTTAAGCTTTGCAAATAAATAATCAAGTTGTTCATCTACAAATTTCCATGCTTTTTTTTTCATATCCGGTAGTTGCTGTTCAAATAAACGATCCACTATGCCATTCTTTTTAACTTGCTTAAGTTTGGATTCTATAACATCACAAAGATTCTTCTGTAAAGTAGTCACTGCCTTAGAGATTTTGGATAAGTCAAGGTGTTTAATGAGTGATGTAAAACTCAAAATTGCTGACTCAATAATTCTATGAAATTGTTTCAGTGGAAATTTTACCTTGAATTTCATATAGTTTTTTCTTACATGTTTTCTTATCATTCGTAACATGTGCATAACCTCTCGTACAGAAGAGGGTACAGCGATAATTGGAACTATTTTTTCCAGGACAGAGGTGCTCACTGTCTTATCTTTCTTCTCTGTTTTTGAAGATCTACTGGATTCACTTTGTCTTTTACTCCATTTCCTTTTTGTCTGCTGAGTTTTTATAGATTTTTCCCTTTTGTCCTTACCCAAATGTCCAGTACTTTTCCTACTTCCTGGGCTAGTTCTTCTGTTCTGCATTTCAGTAGAAACCCTAGGTTTGGCACTTTCTTCAAAATTTTTTTGTTGCTTAGAGTTTTCACTGTCGCTTATAATTTCTCCTTCTTCTAATTCATCTAAAGGTGAATTCTTATGGGAGTCTACTTCTGTAAACTTGACAGATTTGCAAACTGGTTTCTGATTTTCCTTGTTGAGGTCAGACTGACTCTTGGAGGCAGAATTAGCTGAATTTGGTGGAAATACATCTGTGGGACAGAAAAAGTATATTGTAGTCATATGACCACTGAATCTTAGTCATTTAACATTTCCATACTAAATACAACAAAAAATTAAAGAGGCATTTCATTATTTTAATAACTTTTTTCCTTCAACAAAATGTTAATGCCTAACACTTATTCATGTCATTGGTCTTTACTGTTCTCAGAAGGTGCTCAGAAGGTTTTTAACAACAGTTACAAGGTAGAGTTTGGTTATTTGGATAACCATCTACCAATAGTTCAGATACCTTTCTTTACTCAGGTTAGCAGTATCATGTACTCAATACCATCTGGTGATGGCTTTTGAATAATAAAAATATATCTGAAAACAAGCAAGACATATTTAAAATAATCTGTCCTACTACTCCCCAGCTACTATTTTCTGTATAAATAAAAAGTACTCAGGCCCTGGCAGGTGTGGCTCAGTGAATTCAGTGCCAGCTGAGAACCAAGGGGTCTCCAGTTCAATTCCCCAACACAGCAAATGCCTGGGTTGCAGGCCAAGTCCCCAGTGGGTCTCATGTATGAGTCAACCACACAATGATATTTCTGTCCCTCTCTTTCTCCTCTAAAAATAAATAAATAAAATATTTTTTTAAAAAGAACTACCTAAATTTAAGCCCTGGCTGGCGTAGCTCAGTGGATTGAGCGCAGGCCTGCGAACCAGAGTATCGCGGTTCGATTCCCAGTCAGGGCACATGCCTGGGTTGCAGGCCAGTTCCCAGCAGGGGACTCACGAGAGGCAACCACACGTTGATGTTTCTCTCCCACTCTTTCTCCTTCCCTTCCCCTCTCTCTAAAAATAAATAACTAAAATATTTTAAAAAATAAATAAAAAAGAACTACCTAAATTTAGACTTAAGGCTCAATTTGCAGTTAACAATGGGAGTCTGAATGTGTTATCAAAAAAGTACTACTTCATCTTGCTTATGTATATTACATTCTCCCAAAAAGATGTTATTAAAAATAATATAAACAATTACCTTTATGGCTATTATATAATGGAACTCGAGAAGGGCTTTCCAGTCTAAGTACTTTTGCCACAGGTCTCACTGGACTATTCAGGGGACTAATGACTTCTGGAATAGGTCTCAGGTGATTAAGGTCAATGCTCAGAACTGAGTTCTCATCCTGATATACTGAGTTTGTTTCACCAATTTCCATTCTGTGGTCCGTTAACTCAGTGTGCTGGAGTGAAGATTCTAGAGTCTCTTTAGGTAATAAGCAAGGCTCCAAATGACAAGACTTATTCTCAACCAGTGATGTATCTTCAACAGAAGGCTCCAACTTTGGATCATCAACTTCTGAAACAACTTCAGGCAAAACACCAGCTTTTTCAATTGAAGGCTGTAAAATGCTTTCACTGGATTCGGCCACTTTTGTTGAAAAAGCCTCCTTCATTTCCATATCTTCAGAAATATTACAAGAATTTAAACCATCATTTCTTTTGGTATCTAATTCCAAGTCAAAGTTTTGAGAAACATTTGTCTGTAATATGTCCATTATCACTGGAACTGCTGCCCTTGCACCATGAATGGTTTGTTCCATTTCTATTGATGATGGAAACAAAGACTCTGTTTGTTCCATTTCCACAGGTGCTGAAGAGGTCTCTGTACCACAAATGGGCAAGACACAATGCACAGTATCCTCAACAGACTTAACTAACAAACTATTTTCTTCTTCCATTTTCGTTTTTGGAATTCCAGTTCTAGGTTCAGGTGCTGCTGCTGCAACAGCATCTTTTGGTTCCAATGACTTTAATTTGGTTTCCTCTGCACTATGTTCACTGACAGAGGGAACACATGTCACTGTTTTATCCTGCACCAAGGACTCCAAATCACACATGTCACTGGGCTGTGGAGTATTGGTTATTTTATGCTGATTATCCTGAGGAATAGGCTGCTTTTTAGCAGGAGAAAGAGTTAAGTTCAACTTTTCCATAAAACTCAACTTTAAGTCTTTGTTTTTTGTTTCATTTGGACCACTTTCAGCTTTAATTGCAAGGTCTTTGTTATCTAGGCCTTCAGAAACACCCAATGAGACTTCACCTTTATCATTTTTTGGTCCACTCGGTCTCTTTAAATCAGCAGTGGTTTTCTTGGTTTCCTTGTTAATCTTCTGCAAATGTCCTGTAGGTGTTCTTTTTTCATTTCTCATATACCTGTTTTCTTCTTTGCTTTCTTGTTCTCTTTTCCTCTTATCTTCAGTTCTATGCCTTTCTGCTTCTAAAGGTGTATTTTCCCGTTGGTGCATAGCATTAACTTCCTTAGAGTCAATGTGTTTGTGAGTTCTACTGGTTGAAAGAGAGGATGAACATCTTCCTTCTTGAAAACTATGATTACTCACACCCCTGTCTCTTTTACCATCTTCCCTTTCTCTTCTCTCTTCTAGATGATATTTACTTGAATTATGAGATTTTATATCTTTCTTGGAATAAGGAAAAGATGCTCGTTCAGATCTTCTCCAATAATCATGGTCTTTTACTATTGATTTCGGTTTTTGATCAACTTTTCTTTCTTCTTTGTCTTGTGATTTATATTCTTTTTTATTTGTATTTTGTAATCTTTCATTTTGCCTTTGTAGTTTTCTGTCACTTTGAGATTCTACTCGAGTATGTGATCTCTCTCTGAAGGTCTCTTTCTGCCAGGAACAGCCAAAACGTTCATTTTTATAATCCAAATCTGTGTTACTTTTAAACTTTGAATTTTTGCTTTCTATCTTTGGTTCACCTTTACTGTATTTCTCAGGACGTCCTTGTAGCCTTTGACTAGCCTCTATATTCCTTGGTTCACCATCACCACTACTAGTGTTTAAGTCTTTTCGTATTCTATCAGTTCCTCTACTATATTGGCTATATCCAACATCTTTTCTCCCTCTTCTATTATCCTCATTTGAGCTACCCTCACCAACCTGATAATGAGAACGTGACCAAATGCCATTGGTGCAGTGTTTTTCATTGGAGGTAGGCAAATGCAAAGTGCTCTTTTTTTCCAAATGCAATTTTACTTCCTTTTCGATGTTTGGCAGTGAAGTGCTATGATGTCCATCTTTAGAAGCATCACATTTCACTCTGTGATCAGTTTTTGCACAATCATCCAAATGGCAAGATCTGGATGTAAGATCTTTTGTTTTAACTGTATCTGATGTTCGTGCAGTTTTACGATTATTTCGAAAATGTGGAAACTCAGACAATCTATAAAGAAATAGAAAATAAGAAAAAAAAGTCATTGCTTTTTAGTAATCCAAACTTTAATCACACGTGGTACATTTTAAAACTCAGGGACCGACAAGGAACTCATATTCAACAAAGGACATGCTTGTGTAATATACATCCTATTTATTCAACTATAAGCTCCTGAAGATAGTCCAAGCCTACAGAGCTCATAACACATAGTACAACTCCATACTAAATAGTTAAAAAGTTTTATTTTTAAATGAAACTTCACATTTAACACTTTCCAGAATTTACACTCTTAAATTTTCACCTTAAATTATATTTCCAATTTTTCTATTAAACATGAAGTTTCATCCAAATAATACATACACATTTACCATTAGAATCCCAGTTATAGCTCACAATTTAAAAGTGCAAATTTTTGACAGAATATTTATAACCATGTCAAACAATCTAATGGCATAACTCTCATCATTTATTCACCCAGTCTCTTTTCATCTGTTCAAACATCATACTCATCCCCTAAAAGCTTCAAATATATATAAAATTTCCCCTACACTAAAGAACCAATCTTTTATTAGTTGCTTTAGTGGGTTTTAGATTAGTAAACACACAGAACCATCTTCCTTTTCAAAGGACTAGGTGCTTTATCAAGTCCATGCATAGGACTGTCTTCATTCATTCTTCACTCATTTATTGAGTACCTACCATGTACCAGGCACTATGCTAGGTGCTTAATAAAATGGTGAAGACACAGACATGGTCCCTACTCCCACAAGGCTTACAGCTTAGTGGAAGAAAACGATACTAATCAAGTAACCCCATTTACGATTTTAAAAACTGTAAGTGTACATGAAGCTACAAAAGAGAGATTTGACCTAGTAAGGGAGAATAGACAAATATCCCCTGTAAAAAGGATGCTTATGGTAAGTCCTGAGGATGAGTACATATTTAACAGATGGAGAAGAGCATTCTAGGCAGTATAAACAGTCCACGCAAAGGCAGAGCTCATGGTACTGCCAAGAAACTGAAAGAATGCCAGAGATATACCAGAGCAACAACACCTAGGGCAAAGGTATACACTGAAGTCAAGGAATGAGAAGTACTTTGGGACTATACTGTGAAGAGCCTCACGGGCCAAGTGAAGATTTATGATCTTTTATCCTAGGAATAATAAGCCATTAATGTGTTTTAATCAAGAAAGGGAGTAAGATGTGATGGTTGTGTGATAATGAGATGTAGTCTTATGCTTTACAAGTGTCCAATAACTTTAATATTGAGAGACATAATTCTAGAGCAAGAATGGATACAAATACCAGCACAAAGACTACTGCCAATTCAGATGAGAGATGATGGACAGCAACAATAGTAGAAATGGAAAGAAATAAATGATCTGAGAGATTATAAAAACATAAAAATCAACAGAACACAAATCAACAGACTTGGACGTGAGGGATGATCAAGAGGTAAGTGTTAATGACAACTCCTACGCAGGCAGGGTGACTGTGTTCCCCAGTTTGCCGAGCAATCTCAGTGTAAGTATTAATAGCACGCCCTTCTATTCTCAAAAGTGTTCTGGTTTGGACAATAAATTATAGGGTCATTCTACATGTAAGTCTCTAGCTTGCACCAGCTGAATAAATAATGGGAAAGCCATTAAGCTCAACAGAAGAGATTTGCTCATAAATTCAGTTTTGGATAAGTTAATTTTGAAAACTGTATACCAATGTGAAGTAGTTATCTACATATAAATGAAACTGATGCAGCATGTAAAATTACCTCACAAGAAAATACTGATAGAGAAAGGAAAGGACATAGATTTGAGCTTTGAGGAATTCCAACTTAGCCAAGTACAGAAGAACAAACCTCAACTTAGGAAGAAAACTGAGAATAATGAAAGCCAAAGGGAGAGAATTACTTCAAGACAGGAGAGTCAACTGTGTCAAACAGCATGTAAGGAGGATAAGTTAAAATGAGAACTCAAAACTATTTGACGTATTTAAAAAGTATATGTGATATATTTAGTGGTAGTCACTGTTAACCACATGACAGCCATTTCAGTGGACCAGTGGGAACAGAAGTCAGTGTGTACTGGGTTCAACAGTTAGTAGAAATAGAAAATGGAGACATAAAGTTTAGATAACTGTTTTGGAGATTTGACTACGAAGGAAAAGAGAGCGATGAAATCCTCTGGAGAAGAAAACTGCCCCAACCAAAAAAAAAAAAAAAAAAAGAGAGAGAGAGAAATAAATAGAAAATCCATTTGAGAGGGAAAAGAATATAGAATCAAGAGATAGTTTCAGGGTTCTCTATTGATAGGCGATAGGAGCACAGATGCATTCCTGATACTTCAGTAATTTGGTGGGGGCCTAAAAGAATCTGTAATATATACACCATCATCTTCTAAACAGCAGAGTACCAGACAGAGTCCAGTGTATTAGAAAATAAAATATATTCAGAGAGAAGTATGTGACAATATTCTATTTAATAATCTTATTTACCATTAGTCACTCATAGTAAAACCTTACATATTTAATAAAAGACATGATTTTTCTATCTTTCCGAAGTTGAGAATATCCACATATCAACAACCATGTAATTTACAGATCCATGCCACTCAATTATACCTTTGATGAAGATGACTTATTTCTTCATCCTTGCGGCTTATTTCCATTCTAGCAGTTTTGATAAGTGCTGAAATATTCTTCTTAAGGGACTGGTTTTCATTTTTTAAGCTGAAATTCTAAACATCATATAATATATTTAATAAAATATGTATCTACACAATTATTAAGCTACTACTCATTATTTTTTTAAAGATTTTATTTATTTATCTTTAGAGGGGAAGGGAAAGAGAAAGGGAGAGAATATCAATGTATGGTTGCCTCCCGTGGGTCTCCTGCTGGGAACTGGCCTGCAACCCAAGCATGTGCCCTGACTGGAAATCGAACCGCCATCCTCTGGTTCGCAGACCCATGCTCAATCCACTGAGCTACACCAGGCAGGGCTAAGCTACTACTTATGACACCTAATGATTACTGAATTTAAACTAATGCCAGGCATCACATATTTTATCTTATGTAATTCTCAAAAAAGTATATGGGGAAGCTAAGATTCAGAAAAGATAAATGGCACCAGAGAAAGGCCATTTAAAATGAAACTACTTAAAATAGAAATCAAAATTTAAATTAATTAAAAAAAAAAAAAACCCAGAAACCTAAAATTAACAACAAAATTCTCCCTGGGTCACTATCTTGAAAACTGAAAATAAAAAGACTAAAAATCTATATTTAACAACTTAGCTTTAATTTGCAACAGTATACTAATTCTCAGGAGAACAAAGGATGAATCTAGATTGACTGGTTCTTGGGGAGAAAGGAAAAAGTTTACCAAAACATAAAAATCAGAACAAGATAAATGACATTCCTGATTTTTTGTAGCATGATCACAAAATCCCTCTGGCAAAAATTCTGACAGTATTGCCATTTCACCACAATAGCCGTTCTAAATTTTTGATCATCAAACCATTATCTTTTAAACCACCCAATCTCATCTCTACGAATTTTCTATTATTTATCTGGTTAACCAGCTAACAGATCTTTTATGTCATCGTCACTTAACAAAACAAGCAGTTTCCTGTATCAATTGTATGGGAAATTATGCATGTTTTATCAGATTAGCTGAAAGTTCCCTTATATAAACTGCCAACACTTTGGCATTTCAATTTCTAACAAAAAGTTTTAACTAAATTTTGATTTTAAAATAGGGAAAAATAAAATATTTACTATCATGGTACCTGTGTCTGTATTTCCTTAAACTTTTTCATTAGTTCTTTCATTTGTAGCTGACATTTTCCATATTTTACTTGCAACTGTAAGATATAAAAAAGATTAAGCATCATTCTAAATTATTTTCTTAGTTTAAATGGCATTTCAAAATATTTAAAATTTTGCAAAGCAACCCAATAAAAGGGTAGATGAGGTCTATTTCTACTAACAGATATTTAGTAAGATTACTGGTTTTTAAAGTTCACCTTAAACACATACCTAACAGTATGATTACAAGAGGGAAATGGGGTGAGAAAGGCAAAAGTAATGGGGGGATAAATAGTGATCCCCCATGAGGGGACATGACTTTGGATGGTGAACACGTAATACAATATACAGATGATGTATTATAGAACTGCACACTTGAAACCTATATAATTTTATTAACCAATGTTACCCTAATAACATTTTATAATTTCAATAAAAATTTAAAAATTAAAAAAAATAATAATTTATTTTGTTTGGTTTTACATTCACTGTCCAAACCTTGAATTTAAATAAGGCAGAAAGAAATTTCTGATTTAAGTCTTAGGACATTTTATAACAACATAAATCATGAAAAGATAAAATGCTATATCACACTGATTTCCTGTTGAGGTTTTACATATTTAGACAGTTAAATATAATCAAGCAAAGTTATGACTAGATTTAGATAAACATTCAGAAAAAATTGTTTTAAAAAGCAGATCTGAAGGCAGAAACTGACTTAGATGTTCTTTTAGTCTAAGAGTTACTTTCCAAACAAAGAATGTTTGTCCAACACTAAGCAAATGCCTATAAAGAGCTACAAAAGAGTAAAAGAATCATCCTTAATAATTCTGGCAACCCATACATCATTATATGTTGCCTCCTTTGCAGTTCCTTCTTCAGTAAGAATTTCTTCATATAAATCCAAACAATTTCTGGATGGTACACAGGATTTGGAAGGACTGTCTAAAACAAACAAACAAAAACCCTTACATTAAAATATGTATTTCCATATTTAATGCAAAACTCTAATCCCAATGTCATTTTTCACAGAAATACAACAATCCTAAAATTTGTATGCAACCACAAAGACTGCAAATAGCTAGAGCAATCCTGAGAAAGATCAAAGCTGGAGGCATCACGATTTCTTATTTCAAACTCATGGTCCAGTACAAATAACACCCCTTTTTTATTACAGAATCTTTTATTACAAAGTCATAAACATGTAATTCTATAACATAACAATCACACTCAAGCATACCATATGACATTTTAGGTGAAATGTTCATACTAAAACTATAAATAATTATATCCATATTATTACCCTACCAACCACACTCAAGCAGGCCTTACTTCTGCTGGACTCTGTATAATATAAACCTCAAGTCATCAAAACTGTATGTATTGGCATAAAAAATATATAGAGATCGATGGAACAAAATGGGCAGCCCAGAAATAAATCCACACACGATCAATTAATTTATGACAAAGAAACCAAGACTATACAATAGGAAAAGAATAGTCTCTCCAACAAATGGTGTTAGGAAAACAGAACAGCCACATGCAAAAGAATAAAACTGGGTTCCTATCTTACACAATACACAAAAATCAACTCAAAGTGAATTAAAGACTTGAATGTAAAACCAGAAACCATTAATCTCCTAGGGGAAAAACATAGAGGGGAAGCTCCTTGACATTGGTCTTAGCAATGATTTTTCTGGATTTGACACCAAAAGCAAAAATAAACAAATAAAACTATATCAAATTAAAAAGTTTCTGCACTGCAAAGGAAACCATCAACAAAACAAAGAGGAAACCTACCAAATGGGAGAGAATATTTGCAAATTACGTATCTGATAAAGTTTAATACCCAAAATACATAAAGAATTCACAAAAGCCAAACAGCAACAAAAAACTCACTAAAAAATGGGCAAAGGCACTGGATATTTTTCCAGACATACAATATGGCCAAAAGGTACATAAAATGATGCTCAACATCATTAATCACCAAAGAAAAACAATAAAAATCACAATGATGTATCACCTCATGCCTGTTAGAACAATTATCATTAAAAAGACAAGAGACAACAAGTATTGGCAAGGATGTAGAGAAAAGGGGAATCCTTGAACACTGTTAGTAGGAATATAAACTGGTAGAGCTAGTATGGAAAAGAAAAAATTAAAAGCAGAACTATTACATGATCCAGCAATCCGAGTTCTTGGTATGTATCAAAAAGAAATAAAAGAGGTATCTGCACTCTATATGTTCACTGTGGCATTATTTACAATAGCCAAGCTATAGAAATAACCTAAACGTCCAACAATGGATAAATGGGTAAAGATGTGTCGGTGTGTGTGTGTACACACCACACTGGATTATTATTTTCATGAGAAAGAAGGACATTTTGTCATCTGTGACAACACTGATGGAACTTGAGGGCATTATACTAAGTGAAATAAGTCACAAAAAGACACATACTGTATGCTATAACTTACATGTGGAATCTCAAAAAGCCAAATGCACAGAAACAAAGACTAGAATGGTGGTTTGGAGTCGAGGAAAAGAGATGTTGATGAAAGTACAAACTTCCAGCTATAAGATGAGTAAGTTCTGGTGAGCTATTACACATAGTTATTAGAGTTAATAATACCATACTATATAACTGAAAGTTGCTAAGATAATAGATCTTAATGTCCTCACCACAAAAACAAAATGGTAATTATGTAATGTGATGCAGGTGTTAGCCAACTCTATGGTGGCAATCATTTTACAATATACAAATATATCAAATTAACACACTGTACACCTTAAACTTTACAATTTTATCTCAATTATATCACAATAAAGGTGAAAAAAATAATGTGTTAAGATTTTGGACACTGTATCTATCACAGTTCAACAAGCTATATGTTTCTCCATCTCCTGCATTCCATCCCTATCTATAATGGTTTCACAGACGAGCATTGGAAAACCAACTAACCTAAAGTGTTTGTGTTAACAGGTCGGATGTGAAGACAATATCTGTTCCAAGTTTTGACAGATTTGATGATGGAAAAGGTTTCCAATTTGGATAGATAATGAGACTCTGCATATCACATTCTTACTAATACATCTGAAAATATTTATAGTAATTATCCTTTTCAAAAGTTCTGGTATCACGTAACCTGTGACAGTATGAGTAGTAATACATGTACAGAAAAGACCACCAGTTGTATTTCAATGACACAAAATATTTTTGCAAAAGGTCCAGTTAAATCTGAGACCTAGGTGAACAACAAACCTAAGTGTCGATGTGTCTTACTGATCAAGCTTTGTGCAAGAAAATGATGACCTAAGTGTAATCATTTCAAAATAATGGGCAGATTTTTCAAGATCTATGAGTTACTCTAAAATCAGTAACAAAAGAAACACTTTCAATAGACTGAACAAAATTAAACTATTGTATTATAGAACTTAACATACCAGAAACAGCACTGTCCAACCCAGCATATATGTCCAAAGAACCTTCATCATTATTTTTAAGAGGAGATGCTGCAAGAAAATTAAAAACTAGTTAAAACTAATTTTTTTCACTTAGTGAAATTTTTTCTTTTTTAAAGATTTTATTTATTTATTCTTAGAGGGAGGGAAAGAGAGAGAGAAACATTAATGTAAGAGAGGAACATCCCTCAGTTGCCCCTCACACATGCCCCCACCAAGGGCCAAATCTGCAACCCAGGCATGTGCCCTGACTGGGAAGCAAGCCAGCAACCTTTTGGTTTGCAAGCCGGTGCTCAATCCACTGAGCTATACCAGCCAGGGCCCAACTTTTTCTTATAGAAAATACACTGAAGTATTTGGGAATAAAGGACCATGATTTATGCAACTTAATTTCAAATGGGTCGGGAAAAAATTGTGTGTGTGTGTGTGTGTGTTTAAAATGACAATATGGACCTGGATGGTGCAGCTCAGTGGATTCAGTGCCTGCCTGTGAAGCAAAAGGTTGCCAGTCTGATTCCTGGTCAAGGCACACGCCTGGGTTGTGGGCCACAGCTCCATTTGGGGGTGTGCAAGAGGTAACCAATCCACATTTTTCTCAAGAATGAAAGAGAGTGTGTGTACATGGTAATAAAGCCACTGGCATAACCAGGCAAAGGGTTCTTTACATGTTCTTATTCTTGCAACTTTTGTGCAAGCTGGAAATTATTTCCAAACAAATATACTAAAAATAAAAACAGCTATTTCCAGCAAATGAGATTAACAATGTACTTTTGTCCTTCAAAATAATAAAAGTTGCAAATATAGTAAAAGTTAACCATTTGTGAAACTACATAAAAAGTAGAGGTGCTCATTATATTTATTATACTTTTAATTTTTCTGTTGGTTTAAAATATTTCAAAGAAAAAATACACAGCAGCATAATAATCTGAAACTACATCAGCAAAAAATTAACACCAAAAAACAAATTAATACTGCCCAGAGTGGTTATTTGACTATATTTTGTGTGAATCCTTCCATACCTATGAATATTAACTCTAAAAAAGATGTTTAAGCAAAAATAGAATTCTACTAGACATGTTTTACAACATCCTTTTCATTCTATCACATAGTAATCGTAATTCTAGTCAACAAATATACATTTATAATATCAAAAAATTTAATGTTGTCATAGTATAATCACAATTAAGACAAAAGAACTAGTAAATGTTACATCAGAATCTGAAAGTTTACATTCCACATCTTACTTAAAATATTTTTATTTTATGAGCTGATTTTACTACCAAGTCTTGGTTGTCTTTTGCAGTAGTTGTTAACTCATTATATTTAAGAGGCTTGAGCCCTAGCCAGGTAGTTCAGTTGCTTAGAGCATCATCCTGATAAGCCAAGGTAGTGGGTTCAATCCCCAGTTAGAGCATATATAAGACTCAATCAGTGAGGTCATAAACAAGCTGAACAACAAATCAGTGTTTCTCTCTCTCTCCTTTTCTCTTTCTCTAAAATCAATAAATATATATATATATATATATATATATATATATTTTTTTTTTTTTTTAACTTGAAAGCATATAACAAAAAGGTTCACATTTACTGGGCACTTCTTATTTGCTGGGCATTTCATTATATTAATTCATTTATCTGTGAGGAGAAAAAGTTGATAATGACAGTGTTTTCAATAAGAGCAAGTAAATGATTTTGTAAATAAATTGAGAAAGATAGTGAAAATGAGCTCTTGCCCTGGCTGGTGTAGCTCAGTCGACTGAGTGCGGGCCTGAGAACCAGAGGATTGCGGTTCGGTTCCCAGTTAGGGCACATGCCTGGGTTGTAGGCCGGTTCCCGGTGGGGGATGCACGAGAGGCAGCCATGCATTGATGTTTCTCTCCCTTTCTCCTTCCCTTCCCTTCTAAAGATAAATAAATAGACTTCCGCCAACATGGAGGCATAGGTGGAGATGCCACGCTTTCTCACACAACCAAGTTTAGAGACCACAAAATATTACCAACAGAAAACAGCAAATTGAACTTTTTGGAAGTCTGATAACAACAAATTCTTCAGCCTGACCAGTAAGAGGGGCGAAGCCAGCAGCTGGCAGAGCAGGGTTGCACAGGAAAACTCGGTCAAACAAACTCAGGCGTGTGGATCCCGGGCATGGGGTTGCAACGGGCAGACCCAGTGAGCGACCCAGTGAGCAACCAGAATACCCAGCAAGGGTACAGGGTGGCAGGTTGACTGTGGTCCCTCATTCGTGCGCAGATAGGCCAGTGAGGGAGTGGGCAGTGAGACAGGGACCGAGCAGGCCCCAGCGGCAGGAGGCAGCAGAAGGAGCTGCTATTTGCCCACTCTGATGCCGCCCTCATATACAGCGTCACAATCCAGCGACCTGAGCGACCCTACCCTAGTGAACACCTAAGTCTCCACTCCTCATACTTAAGGGGCACAAACAGACCAAAAATAGCTCAAGATCTCAAAGCCCCAGAGCCCATAACTCTAAGTGACGAAGAAATAGCAAAACTTTCAGATGCACAGTTCAAAACACTGGTGATCAGGATGCTCACAGAACTGGTTGATTTTAGTCACAAATTAGAGGAACACATGAAGGCTAAACTAATTGAAATGAAGGGACTTGCAAAGGAAACCAATAGTGATGAAAAGGAAACTGGGACTCAAATCAATGGAGTGAACCAGAAGGAAGGAAAAAATGGCCAAATAGGAAAATATGAAGAAACAAGAATTCAAAAAAATGAGAAGAGACTTAGGAACCTCCAGGACATCTTTAAACGCTCCAACATCCAAATTATAGGGGTACCAGAAGGGGGAAAGGAACAGCCACCAGTGGAAAACTTATTTGAACAAATAATAAAGGAGAATTTCCCCATTCTGGCAAAGGAAATAGACTTCCTGGATAGAAATCCAGGAAGCTCAGAGAGTCCCAAAGAAGTTGGACCCAAGAACAAACACACCAAGGCACATCATCATTACATTAGCCAAATTCAAATGAAGGAGAGAATCCTAGCAGCAGCAAGACATAAGGGGACAGTCACCTACAAAGGAGTTCCCATCAGACTGTCAGAGGATTTCTCAAAAGAGACCTTATAGGCAAGAAGGAGCTGGAAGAGGTATTCCAAGTCATGAAATCCAAAGACCTACAACCAAGATTACTCTATCCAGCAAAACTTTCATTTAGAAGAAAGGGCAGATAAAGTGCTTCTCAGATAAGATCAAATTCAAGGAGTTCATCATCACCAAGCCCTTCTTATATGAAATGTTAAAGGGACCTACCTAAGAAAAAGAAGATAAAAGAGATGAACAGTGAAAGGACAGCAAACTCACAGTTAACAACCATACCTAAAACAAAAGCAAACTAAAAGGACAGCTAGATCAGGAGCAGAAACATAGAAATGAAGATCTCATGGAGGGTTAGCAACAGCAGGGTGGTAGGAGGAGAAGGGGGAAGAAGGTACAGAAAATAAGTAGCATAGATGGTAGGTAGAAAATAGATGGGGGGGGCAAGAATAGTATGGGAAATATAGAATCTAAAGAACTTGAGACACATGGTCATAAACTAAAGGGGGGAAATGGTGGGGCGGGGGGTGCAGGGTGGAGGGGAATGAAGGGGGAATAGAACAACTGTAATGGCATAATCAATAAAATAAAAAATAATAAAAATAAAATAAAAATAAAAAAATAAAGATAAATAAATAAAATATTTTTAAAAAAAGAAAGAAAATGAGCTCTTACCAGAGAAGACATCAAATAAACTTGTTCCATCACCATTGTCATCATCTGCTGCCATGGTCCTATTTCCTTTTGATAGTTGCCATCTAAAATATTAAACATCAAGATTTTCTACTGTTAAAAATCAATCTCACAATTCAAAGAATAAACCTAGCTTTAAGTTAAAAAGTAACTGTCAGACATCATGGGTGTGCTCAGTTGTTTGGGTGTTGCCCTGCAAAGCTAAAAATTCACTGGTTGGTTTCCCAGTGAGGGCAGATGCCTGGGTTATGGGTTCAGTTCCCTGGTTCCCCACCCACCCTGTCCCCCAGTCAGGATGCATGTGAGGGGCAATCAACCAATCAATCAATGTTTCTCTCACACTTTGATGTTTTTCTCCCTCTTTTTCCCTCCCTCTCCTCTCTCTAAAAATAAATAAATACAAATCTTTAAAAAAAATTTAAAAGCAACTTTCAAATTTGAACACGCTGAATGAGCTCACTATTATTCTCACTTCAGCAACACACATACTAAAAAATTGAAATGAATGAGTTCATGATCATTACAAAAAAAAAACCTAACATTTTCCAAAAGCTAAAACTGTAAGACAAAAATATTAATCTTGATAATAAGGGTAAGCCATGTCACAAAATAAACAATATTAATTTTTCAAAAATAGACCAAATACAAACTAATGTTTATACTAAAATAAGCCAGCTATAATACCAAATAAGTACAACTATATGGTGAATTTTGTGAGTCCTCTTAGCAAATCAGCAAACCTGGGGGTAAGTCTTGGGGATGCAAGGCATACATGTTTTCATCAATAAGATAGTACAACAGGCAAAAACCAAAGAGTTTGATACTATGCTAGGTTGGTAAAAGTGTGGGAAAACAAGTGCTCTCATACATCACTCAAGTGTATACTGGTACAAACTCTATGGAGGCGCTTTGATCATAGCTACCAAGTTTTTAAATGCAAATACGCTTTGACCTAACCATTTTATATCTAGTAATTTGACAATATACAAGCGCACAGTTACAAAAATGTTTTGTACAAAAATATTTTTAATTTTATTAATCTTTTTAGAGAGAGAGGATGGGAGGGAGAAAGAGAGAAACACAGATGTAAGAGAGATCAACATTGATGAGAGAGAGAAATGTGGATCGGCTGCCTCTAGCACTTGCCCCCACCAGGACTGATCCCTAATCTAGCATGTGCCCTGACCAAAAATTGAACCCTGGTGGCCTTTCACTTTGCAAGGTGACACCCAACCAACTGAGAGCCACACCAGTGAGGACTGTACAGAAATATTTAATGAAGCGCTATTTGCAGTGGCAAGAGTGAAAGCAACATAAGAATCCAAAACAGTAAAATAAAACAAAAGATCTGACTTATCTGACATTAACTAACATCTAAAATTCTCCATCATGCTAGCTAAACTTGATGGATGTTGCCTATGATCAATGAACTATGCCTACCTGAGGTTATTAAGTGTAACTGTGCCTACACACTTCTACTCCTACCAATTGAAATACACACTCACCAACAGCCAGGTGCATTTGTTACCAAATCCAATTATGCCTGTTTCCTTATTTTTCTAAGTAATAATATAACAAAACATCACATTACCAAAGGGAGTTATTTTCCAGTGAAAATTAGGCTAAATGTTTTGGAAAAACTCAAAGATAAATAGCAAGACACATAACACAATTGCTTTATCAAATCAAGCGAGCATGAGATAACCAAAAATAATGGACAGGAAAATCTAGTCTATACTCAGATTGATTAATAAGTATTTTACTCCACTTTAATAAAAAAAAGTGCTAGAGGACTTCCGCCAAGATGGAGGAATAGGTGGAGACACCGTGCTTTCTCACACAACCAAGTTTAGAGACAACAAAATATTAGCAACAGAAAACACAGCCAGAACACAGAAAATTGAACTTTTCGAAAGTCTGATAACAACGAATGCTTCAGCCTGACCAGTAAGAGGGGTGAAGCCAGCAGCTGGAGGAGCGGGGTTGCAGAGGACGGACCCAGTGAACGACCAGTGGACCCAGCAAGGGCGCAGGGTGGTAGGTCGACTATGGTGGCGCATTCCTGCGCAGATAGACCAGTGAGGGAGTGGGCAGTGAGACAGGGACCGAGCAGGCCCCAGCGGCAGGAGGCAGCAGAGAAGGCCGCCATTTCCCTGCTCTGACCCCGCCCCCACATACAGCATCACAAACCAGCGACCCCCACCCTGGTGGCCCCACCCCGCCCCTAAGGCTCCGCTCCTCATACTTAAGGGGCGCAAACAGACCAAAAATGGCTCAAGAAGATCTCAAAGCCCCAGAGCCCATAACTCTAAGTGACGAAGAAATAGCAAAACTTTCAGATGCACAGTTCAAAACACTGGTGATCAGAATGCTCACAGAACTGGTTGATTTTAGTCACAAATTAGAGGAACACATGAAGGCTAAACTAATTGAAATGAAGGGACTTGCAAAGGAAACCAATAGTGATGAAAAGGAAACTGGGACTCAAATCAATGGAGTGAACCAGAAGGAAGGAAAAAAATGGCCAAATAGGAAAATATGAAGAAACAAGAATTCAAAAAAATGAGAAGAGACTTAGGAACCTCCAGGACATCTTTAAACGCTCCAACATCCAAATTATAGGGGTACCAGAAGGGGGAAAGGAACAGCCACCAGTGGAAAACTTATTTGAACAAATAATAAAGGAGAATTTCCCCATTCTGGCAAAGGAAATAGACTTCCAGGAAATCCAGGAAGCTCAGAGAGTCCCAAAGAAGTTGGACCCAAGAAGGAACACACCAAGGCACATCATCTTTACATTAGCCAAATTCAAATGAAGGAGAGAATCCTAGCAGCAGCAAGACATAAGGGGACAGTCACCTACAAAGGAGTTCCCATCAGACTGTCAGAGGATTTCTCAAAAGAGACCTTATAGACAAGAAGGGGCTGGAAAGAGGTATTCCAAGTCATGAAATCCAAAGACCTACAACCAAGATTACTCTATCCAGCAAAACTTTCATTTAGAATGAAAGGGCAGATAAAGTGCTTCTCAGATGGATAAAGTCAAGTTCAAGGAGTTCATCATCACCAAGCCCTTCTTATATGAAATGTTAAAGGGACTTATCGAAGAAAAAGAAGATAAAAAAGATGAACAGTGAAAGGACAGCAAACTCACAGTTATTAACAACCATACCTAAAACAAAAGCAAACTAAAAAGACAGCTAGATCAGGAGCAGAAACATAGAAATGAAGATCTCATGGAGGGTTAGAACAGGGGAGCGGGAGGAGGAGAAGAGGGGAGAAGGTACAGAAAATAAGTAGCATAGACAGTAGGTAGAAAATAGATAGGGGGAGGGCAAGAATAGTATGGGAAATATAGAATCTAAAGAACTTGAGACACATGGTCATAAACTAAAGGGGGGGAATGGTGGGGGTGGGGGGCACAGGGTGAAGAGGAATGAAGGGGGGAATAGAACAACTGTAATGCCATAATCAATAAAATAAAAAGTAAAAAAGAAAGTGCTAGAAACCATAAATAATGTCATGGGTATGTTTTATGCAAGAAAGAAGCCAAAACTCCAATCCCTGGATTCATACCAAAAACAAAGGTCATGGATCTACCACAAGAGATACAATTTGTTATTCCTTTAAATAAAAGTGAGGTATATACTGTTTGTTTTTCATTCCCTACCCTCTCCATTCCAGTTTGATACAATTATTTCTCACTTAAATTATTATAAAAGTCTCCTAGCTAGTTTCCATACTACCATTATCTTTTTCCTCTCATCCTTTTCCACACTGAAGCAAAAATTAATCCTGTTTTTGTCTATCCTGTGTTTCATTCCCAGGTCAGAAAACTTAAAGAGCCATCCAAAATAACATTAGCAAGTTAAGCTTTCCTAGCACAGAACCCAAAACCTTTTCCAGAAATGTTTATCAATACTTTTCCTCACACTGCTCCCCTTACCTACTACATTCAGCTACACAACTGATTCTGTACCACCACAGCATGTTTCTACAATGCAAGTCTGTGCATTCATTATTGATAAATAAAAAAGTGATATCAGTATAATATAGAAATTATGTTGGTTCAGACAGCATTCTTCCCAGGATGTTAAAGTTTTGTGCCATTAATTAAACGCAGCAAAACCTGAAGGAATCTAGTCCTTTATATGATGGTACCCTTCTCTAGATGCCCAACACTCCCCTATCACAGTATAACAACAGCCTTTGTCTTTCAATGGCTTAAACATGGTTTTTCTTCAATCTTTTTTTAGGGGTTAGGGTGGTAAGGGACCCCAAACACAAGGCAATGAACCAGAGCCATTCCATCTGCCATCACAATTATTTCACATAAAATCTGCCATTTCTTCTACAGCCACAATCGTTGATGCTGTGTCCCTATTTTCTTGTCTCCACAAATCCACAGCCTCAATCCTTCTTCATTCTACCTTCCATTATGCTATCTTCAGAGTTAGACTGGGGCTTCTGGTCAAGATGGTGGTGTAGGTAAAGGTGGTACTCACCTCCTCCCACAACCGCATCAAAATTACAACTAAACTACAAAACAATCATCAATCAGAACCAGCCGAATCTAGCAGAATGGAAGTCCTACAAGTAAGGATATAAAGAAGCAGCCACACTGAGACTTGCAGAAGAAGCAGAGAAGAAACAGGTCAGTCCCACACCAATGTATGGCAGACAAAAATTGGGAGGGATATCTCTGGTGCAGATAGGTTCCCCCCCTCAGGAGCAAGGAGTCCGAGCCCCACACCAGACCCTCCTGTCCAAGGTTCTGTGCCAGGAAGAGAAGTCTCCATAACTTCCGGCTGTAAAATTCAGTGAGGATTGTGGCTGAGGGAGACACAGTGCTTATGGAGTCCCAGGCAGTTCCTCTTAAAAGGGCCCACACGCAGACTTACTTGGTTGGACTCACTAGCTCTGAGCTCCAGCTCTGGGGCAGCAGCTCAAAGGCACCAGGGACACACAGGGAGGAAGGGAACTGTCCGACATCAGAGTAAGAGCTGCAGGGGCACCTTTCTCCCAGACAGAAGTGCTAGCGAGGCCACTGTCCTGGGTCCTTCCC